AGGAAAGAAGGAAGGAAGGAAGGAAAGGGGAGGGAGCGAGGGAAGGAAGGAAGAGAAAGGAAGGAAGGAAAGAAAGAAGGAAAGAGGGAGGAAAGAAGAAAGGAAGGAAGGAAAGGGGAGGGATGAAGGAAGGAAGGAGAGAAGGATTTGTTTCGTTTTATTTCTGGATTCTGTGTTTTATCGGGGCCCGTCGGCCGAGTAGACTTAAGACTCTGAGTAAAAGGGCCCTTGGCGACGGAGTAGAGCTCCACCTCCTCCTTGGAAATACCCCTTGTTATCAAGCTGGGCAGACGGTACACGGCGAGTAAGTGGTACGAACAGGGACAGGGGGAATCAGCACAGGTCATCTAGACTGACCCAGGAGCTCTTTCGGGGTGGGGACGGGTGGGGGAAGGTGACTCCAAGGTGGAGTGAGGGGTGTGTGGGGGGGGGGGGAAGGTTACTACAAGGTTACTAAGGCCGGGACTTTTCCCCGACGAGACTCAAAAGCGGGACTAAGAAAGGATTCTGCCCGGATTTCCTGCTCGGGCACGGGGGTTGGACTGGATGACCTCCGAGGTCCCTTCCCCGCTCTGCCCCCCTGGGATAGTTCTCCTTCTCGGGCAGGGGGGTTGGACTAGATGACCTCCGAGGTCCCTGCTCTGCCACTCTAGGATAGTTCTCCTGCTCGGGTGGGGCGAGGGGTGGGAGGCTGGACTAGATGACCTCCAAGGTCTCCCTTCCCCCTCCCTCCTTCCGTCCTGCCGCCCGAGTCGGCGGCTTGAGCATGGGGTTGGACTAGATGACCTTCTCTCTCTCTCTCTCCCGAGCTCCTCTGATAAAACTCGGTGGGATTCTCAGCGGCCGGGGTTGGACTAGATGACCTTCTCTCTCTCTCCCAAGCTCCTCTGATAAAACTCGCTGGGATTCTCAGCGGCCGGGGTTGGACTAGATGACCTCCGAGGAACCCCCTTCCGGCTCGATCCGATCAAAGGGGGGGAAACAAAGGATGAATGCTCCCTGCCCCGTGTGTGTGTGTCTGTGTGTGTGTGGACAGCAGAACCCCCCCCCAAAGAACTCCTGGGTCAGTCTAGATGACCCGTGCGGGCAATGCAGACGGGGGGAAAGAGCAGGAAAGGAGGGAGGGGTGTGTATATGTGCGACTCGTGCGTGCGACGCTCCCCTACGGCTGCTCCAAACGGGGCCGAGAAAGTCCATCGTCCATATTCGGAGCCCTCGTCCGGGGTCAGTCTAGATGACCCGTGCGGGCAACGCGGCCGGGGGGGGAAGGAGCAGGAAAGGAGGGAGAGGTGTGTATATGTGCGACTCGTGCGTGCGACGCTCTCCTACGGCTGCCCCAAACGGGGCCGAGAAAGTCCGTCATCCGTATTCGGCGTCCTCATCTCTCCTCGTCCCGCGATGGATCTTTTCCGACACATTTTTTTGGGGGGACGGGGGGGTTAAATTTGGGGGGGGCGGGGGAGGGCAGAGAGAGACTCACCCCTTCGCCGGTGAGGGGACGGTGCTGCTCGGCGGACATCCGGCCGCGGCTCATGGCCGATCCCTCTCCCGGCGCGCCCACGCCGCTCACCCTTTCTCGTTCTCCTTAGGGCTCAGAGGAAGGAATGGCGGCACCATCACCTGTGACGGGAGAAGCACGGTCAGTCAGGGGGCGGCAGCGGTGGTGCGGGAGGGCGGGGGCGGCAGCGGTGGTGCGGGAGGGCGGGGCACCCCATTCTCCCCCCCCCCCCCCCCCCCCCCCCGCCCTTCCCGGCAAACCGAAGTCGCCGCCGAGTTCTGTTATCCCGCACCAAAGAGCCAGGACGAGCGGAGGGTGAGGACGAGAGGCGGGTGCGTCCAATCGGCGGGGAGACGGGGGGGGTCTCGAACCCCCCAGCATATCCCTTCTTGCCATGCCGGCCTTGCCCACCCACCCCTCCGATTGGCCCCCACGTGGGGGAGCAACGGCGCGAGTTTCCCTCCGCCGTCCCCCGGCTCAAAACGGGTGGACAAACACCCACATAACACACTTCAACCCAGGCTCAAAGCAACCCGAACCCGTGCCCGGTTGTGCCAACCACTCCGCCGGGGAGACACCCCCCTCCCCCGCCGGTAAGAGGAAGGATGGGGACGGACGGCCTCCCCTCCCCCTCGCCGAACCACTCGAACGAAACCAAATCCCCGTCCAGCTTCACCCCCCAACGACTGAGTCAGAACCTCCCCAACTGCCCGGCAAGAAAGGCGGGACCAGCCTGGTTGGAAAGAGAAGAGAGACGACAAGACGGAAAGAGCCGTCCATCATTCACGCCGGCGGATTTGGCCTTTCCGGCGCCCGGCACCCCCGCTGCCGGTCGGACGGACGGGGTGCCCTCTCCAATGGACACCCCCGTCCCCACCAAAAAAAATTGGGGGAAAAGGGGGGGAGCCCTGTTGTCCCCTCAGACGAGACGCCGAGACGGTCTCGGGAAGCTCTCTCGTATTCGGCGAGGCGGGCAATTCGGCGAGGACGGGCACCCAACAGTGTTGGACAGGCTCCCTTTCTTCCTCTTCTTCTTCCTCCTCCTCCTCTTCCTCCTCCTCCTCCTCAGACCCCCCTCCCCCCTCCAAAAAAAACACTCGTTCGCCCCTCTGTCCGATCACTTACCACCGCCACCGCTACAGATGCCAGGATGTGCCTGGCACGAGTTAGGACATTTAGGGAAGTCGTAGAGTGAGTCACCCTCACAAGCTCGGCCACGGGGTGCTGGACGGGGCCGGCACAAGCCCCCGCGTTCTTGCTCGCCCCCGAGCCGCGGCACCCCCTTTTCCACGCCGGCCCTGCTGTGCCAGGCCAGGCCGGACGCTCTCCTTTCCACCCCGCACCGTGTGCCGACGGCTTTCTCTTGCCTTCCGGGGTGGCAAACGAGACCCCCCCCACCCGCAACTCCCCCCCAAAAGAGGAAACTTCGCCCCTTCCGGCGAGGACAAGCTGGCACCCCGAAAACCACCAAACCTACAAACCAAAACTACAACCCCTGAGGCCGTCACCCCGAAAACCACCAAACCTACAAACCAAACCTACAACCCCTGAGTTGCCCGCTTTCCTAGACGGCCCAAGCTTTGTACACCGGCTGAACCGGGACGGGGGGGGGGGGAGGGCGAGGAAAGGAAAGTCCTCGGCTTGTGCCCGCCTGGCGAAACCCCCTCCCAAGATTTGGCCCACCCGGCGGAGAGGGGAGACCCAAAGCTCCGACCAGGATGGTGCCCGCTTCGCCGATAGGCCTGCGGCCCGGGTGAACCAACGGGAAAGAAAGCCAACCGGGGCTTCTCGCCGGCGTCCGAACCCAGGTCATCCCAAGTCGACCGTCACACTTTGTGCCAGCGGCAAGGCCAGGTGGGCACCCCAAAATCTGGGGACGGACGGACAGACCGTCCCTTTCCCCGTGCCAATCGGGGAAGGGGGGGGAGGATATAACCTCTGTGGCCCACTCGACTTTCTCCTCCCTCCCGTCGCCGTCCGGCACACAAACACACACATGCCCGACGGGGCTGGCAAAAGCCAGTCTTGACCCCCCTCCGCGTGGTGAGCCGGGGAAGGGGGGGGAGGGCTGTGAGGAGGAGGAGGAGGGAGGAGGGGAGGGCCAAGCTTGGGAACCTGGCGTTGGTCCCTCCGTCGGGCGCCGCATTCCAGCGGCGACGAGCCCCGACATGCCCGGCCTAAGAGGATTTATGGGCACCGCGGTGCCACCTGGAAGGCCGCTCCGGATTCCTGACGAGGCCGGATTTCTTCCCCCCCCTCCCCTCCCCTATTGTGGGGGGAGGGGAGGCATCCAATGGGGGAGGGGCTCGTCTCCTTCCTCCTCCTATTCGTCCTCCTCCTCGCCTTCTTCGGCAGGACGTCCAAATCGAGCCGGGTGGCCGTTCTAGAGAACCTCGAGGAACCTCTCTCTCCCCGCCCAGAAGGAATCGCCCCCCCCGAGCATCTGGGAGGGTTTTGTGCCTGTTTAGCAACCGTGCCGTCCCCGCTGGAAAGAAAGAAACCAACCAATCAACCAACCCCCCCAAAAATCGCTTGGTGGCCCCCTTTCCCTGCCGACCAAAGTTTTCCCCATGCCAGCTCAACCGGGCCGATGAAACGAAACCGCCGAGTTTCTTCTCGGCTGGTGCCTGCTTGGCGAAACCCGCACCCGACACCCCCAAATTTGGTCCAACCGGGGGACGTGGACAGACAGGACGGACGGGGACGAGACCCCCCAAAAGTTGCGACCAGGATGGTGCCGGCTTCGCCGACGGGCCGGCGGCCCCGGGGCTGCCCCCCGTTGCGGCTTCTCGGCAGCGTCCCGCGGACTCTCGAGCCGGCGTGAGGTGCCCGCGGGGGTGAGGGGTGGGGTGGGGGGGGCACATCAGCCTGACCCCGTCCCCCCTTAAGACGATGCCCCCTTCGGGAAAAAAAAGACCCCCTCTCCCCCCCCAAAGGGGGACTCGCTCAGCACTAAGCGAGCCAAAAACCGACGGAGAGGGAGGGGGGCGCACCTGCCGGCCGTCGGAAGAGAGGAGAGAGCCACGGGGGCGGGGGGTGGGGGTGGGGTTTCCCCCCCCCCCCCCCCCCCCCTCCCCCCCCCCCGATAGGCCCACCCCCCCCCCCCCCCCCCCGCGCTCTTCCTCCTCCCCCCCCCCCCCCCCCCGGTGGGAGTGCGGCTAAACCACAAAATTTGAACTCGGCGTCTGGATGAAGTGACTCATCGCTTCGCCAGAGTCAGCCGTCGGCGGTCGGAGGTGTGAGTCAGACCTCCCCCTCGTGCCTCTCGCCGCACACCCAGAGGCTGCCGGACCCTGACCTTGAACGCCCCGTTTCCCTGCCCCCCCGCCTAGCCGGAAGAAAGAAAGAAGGAAGGAAGGAAGGAAAGAAAGAAAGAGAAAGAGAGAAAGAAAGAGAGAGAGAGAGAGAGAGAGAGGAAAAAAGAGAAAGAAAGAGAAAGAGAGGGAAAGAAAGAGAAAGAGAGAGAGAAA